ACTCAGCGGCTTTGTTACATGGTTTCTTAATGTGCGAGAAATTTAAATTGTACCCCTCGAACTTTTCTTTAAAAGCTAGTAAAACGGATAGAGTTTTCCAATGCGATCTTACTGCCCCCTTTATGGTCTGTATCACCTGCAAATTATCACATTCAATGACAATTTTAGTATAGTTATTCTCTTGTAGAAAAACTTTCATGTTAATCAAAATATCACTAATAATGGAAGTGGAATTCTGATTAATATGAGAGTTTCTCTGATAATAGATAGATAGCATAACCATGATGATTCTGAACAATTAATCCTGAGATGTAACCACCATTCGTATCAGAATATGTAGATATTTCTACGCTTCCAAATGGTCCAGCATATGTAAATAGCAACCTGACTTTGCATATTTTGATAATCATCGTGGGCAGTGAACCAATTTTGAAGCATAGTATTTAAATTATCAGTGTTATAGTTTGCAATTTTGAAAATATTTCCGTAATGGGACCACAACTTGTAACTGAAATTGCAAGTAGTGTAGCAATGATCCCTAGTGTCACAATTATTACAAAAGGGACATTTAAAGGGGCCATAACTTCCAAACTTGTGCAGCCTCTCTTGGAAGGGTTGCAAGTTATTAATAACTTTCCAAATGAAAAAGGAGATTTTGCTTGGGATATTCGTGCTCCAAATATGCTTACTAAAATTGCCAGTTATTCTTTTGGGTCTAATTTCATCATAGGCACTTTTGAATGAGTAGGAGCCGGAGGGATTAGGGGTCCAAACCAATATGTCACTATGCTCATTAAAATGATGCTTAAAGGAATTAACATTCTGCATAATATAATCAGGCAAAAGGGACTTAATGTCAGAAAAAAAGTTAGGGTGAGAAAAAGCTTCCCTTATAGCCATTTGAGGTTGTAACAGATCCACACCATTAGCGCAATCCACTAAACTACCAAAATAAGTCCAATTAGAGTTCCAGAAAGAAGACATACTGTTACAAACCACCAAAGTAGTTAAATTGTCAAATGTGTTCTTGACCTTCCTCAAACCTTTCCAGAGATAAGAGTAAGAGGGATTCTTAAGTTTGGAGAACCAAACTCCCCATAAACCTGTTTGATGAGCAGCTTTCCACCAACATTTAAGATAGAAACAATTTTGAATAGTAAAAAGGTCCCAAAAACTCAAACCATTTTCCATATTAGGATAAGAAAGATTGCTCCATTTTCCCCAAATGTGTCTTTTTTCAAAATCAGAATTAGACCAGAGAAATCTGGCATATTTTTGCTCAATATTATGTAAAATGGTTTTAGGAACAATCGCGCTAGCCATGTGATTAAGAGGGAGAGTAGTGAGAAAATACTTAATCAAAGTGATACGACCTCCGTGAGATAAAAATTTGTTTTTCCAACCAGCTAATTTTTGGTCAATTTTGAAGAGAATGTTGTCAAAATGGCTGTTTTTAGGTCTTCCTTGAAAAATGTTAGCACCAAGGTAAATGAAAGGAAAAGGCCCTTTTTTAATTCCAAAACTTTTTTAAACATTTTTATTAGTAGCAGTAGGAGTTCTTTTACCACTAATATAAAAGCTTTTATTGGTGTCCCCAGAAAATTTTTTATAATCAACAATAACAGAATTAAGGGCCTTTAGAGACTTTTTCCCATCATTAGAGAAAATGACAAGATCATCAGCATAACTAAGGTGCGAAATGATAGGTAAACCTGGATGAGTGTGGTACGCGATACAAATACCATCGGTAAACAGTCTATTGCAATGTCTAGAAAGGACCTCAGAGACCAGAATAAAGATGATAGGGGAAAGAGGATCACCTTTTTTGACCCCACGCTTAGGTTTAAAAAAACCTTTAGGTTGCCCATTGATCAAAATAGAGAACCGCGTACTTTCAAAGTTATTTTTTATAAGATTTATAAAATTATTTTGGAAGCCAAAAGCACGCAGGGTGTCATAAACAAAGTTCCAAGAAACTCTATCAAAGGCCTTAAGAATATCGAATTTGAAAAAAATATTATGACCTCTAGTATTTTTATCAAGACAATTGACCATCTCTTTAAGAATCAAAATACTATCACTAATCTCCTTGCCCTTTTGAAAGGCAAATTAAATTTGTTGGCAGAAATAAGGTTAGGAGTAATGTTGATAATTCTAGAGGTCAGAATATTGGTCAAAGCCTTACAAATAAAGTTGCTAAGCCTAATAGGACCATATTTAGAAAAATGGGTAGCATTAGGCTCCTTAAGGACAAGACATATCAGACAGAGTGTGCCCAATGGCTTTGGGAATGGGAACACCACACAAATATCTATGTTGTAAGACCCGAACCGGACCGGCCGGTTCGACCCGGAACCCGGTCACCCGGCCTTGTGTGCGGTCCGGTTGAGCATCCAACCGGAAACATGGCCAAAACCGGATTTAACCGGTGACCCGTTTAAACCCATTACGGATCCGGACCAACCCAAACCCGGAAAATAATAAAAACCCGGAGATAACTACGCCCACGGGACTCGAACTCGCGCCATGCGCTGTGATTTAAAGACCATCGGCCAACCTGCTACACTAGGTAGTTGTTGTTTTACGTTGTTTTGGTATACTTATAGCTTATTTTACAGGAATATTTTAATTAAGCTTAAATAATTTGCTTATTAATTAATTAATTTATAATAAAAACTAATAAATACACATAAATGATGTTATTATACTTCGTATTTAAGTATATAATCTTACAACTTTTTTGGAAATATTTTGTAATTGGTATTATGTTCATATTTATTATCCATCTAAATTTCAATGTATTTTAATTTTTTTTAAATCAATCTACTTAAATACAATAGTTTTTTTTAGATTGCTTATATTGTATTATTATTATTATTAAATTAAGAGGGAATATAATTTTTCTATTTAAGAATTAAATCTTTTATATAATTAAAATTAATTATTTGTATTGTTGTTGACCGGGTTTACCGGTCGTTGACCGGGTTGACCCGCCGGGTCCGGGTTGACCCGTGACCCAGTCATCTGTCCGGGTCACCCTCTGGTCCGGTTTTTACAACATAGACAAATATTCGTGGATAGCGTTTAACAGGTCTAACTCAATAATATGATAACAAGTTTGGAAGAATTTACCGTCAAACCCAACAAAACTTGCACAACTATTATCATTCAAAGAAAAAACAGCCTTTCTAGCCTCCTGAGGGATAACAGGGGCCATAAGAAGAGCATTATCCTCCTCAGAAACAATATTAGTTATGACAACATTAATAAAAATACGAGCAGCAACCTGGTTATAATCAGAGGTATTCAAGAGCAAATTTTGGAAATAATTTACCGCTTCAGCACTTATTTGAGTCTCTTCCTCCAAAGTGCGACCATCATCACTGTTAATCTCATTGATGGAAACTATTTTGTGTTTGGATTTTAAAGTGAGATGAAAAAAAGTAGTATTTGCATCTCCCTCTTTCAGCCACTTAGTTTTTGCCTTCTGCCTTAAGAAAGTATATTTAAGCTTGAGGAGTCTAAGGATGTTTTCTTTTGGACTTTTTTCAGTCCCAGACCAGACCAGATCAGACCAGACCAGACTTAAACAGACCAGACCAGACTTAAACAGACCAGACCAGACCAGACCTGGACAGTTATAAAATACAAAGAGACTAGACGTTTTACCAGACCAGACCAGACCAGTTCAGACCAGACCAGACTTAAACAGACCAGACCAGCAAATTTCAGTCCAAAAGAAAACATCCTAATATGGTTGGCTTGACCTTCTTTAAGAAGGATAATATCAGTATCAGAAAGGGTATTTCCCAGGTTTTCCTCTAGTTTAGGGATTAAAAGCTCAACCTCCGAAATTTTGTCCATAACATTTCCAAAAATATTTTTATTCCAGGTTCTAAGGTGTTACTTTAGCCTTTTCAATTTCAGATGAAACTTGAACATGCCATAACCTTCACACTCAGAGTTCCAGGAATAAATGATTTCATTGAGAAAATTGAGATGAGAAATCCACATATGCTGGAATTTGAAATTTTTTGGATAAGAGGTTGACTTAGTTTCCATAAACAAAATAGGATTATGGTCAGAAACATTTTTGTGTAATGTTTGAAGCTTAAAATTCTGTTTTAATTGCAAAACTTCATCAGAGACCAAAACCCTATCAAACTTCTTCATAACCAAACCATTTCTCCTTCTTCCCAACCAAGTAAAATATCCCCCATCCATATGAATTGAAAATCTAGTAAGGCATTGGCATGAATGAATTCATTGAAATTGTTAATGCCATAAATGTTAGGTGTAGAGTTACCCTTGTACTCATCTAGATGAGTGATAGCGTTAAAGTCTCCAGCAACAATCCAAAGGCCACTGCTATTAGTAGATCTGAGAAGAGAAAGCTCATTCCAAAGTTGTCTTCTATGTATTCTATCATTACTGCCATGGACTATAGTAACAAAAAAGGAAGTGGGTGATCAATGTTAGAGATAATCATAGACATCGATTGAGAACCCTCATGAATAATACAAACATTATTCTCGTTATTCCAGAAAATCCAAAATCTGTTTTGGGAGTGAGCATAACCATGAGGAAAATTCAGGGTCATCTTTTTTTTATTGAGAAATTTTTTATTAGTTTTCTGATAATTTAATGAATACCGTTTATTGTGTCTAACTTTGCTCAATTAAGTCATCATGTCTAATCGAAAATACAATAATAACAGGTATATTATCTATGGAGCATAAACTGCTAGAACATTTAGAGCATACAACTTTTTTTATCATTTAGAGTATACAACTTTAATAAGTGACTTTGCTACTTAAAACAGAAGAAAAATAAATAACTAAAATAAGTTTTTTTTAAACCCGATAGACGAGCAACTCATTAGTGGAGTAAAGTCCGGGAAAAGTTTGCCAGATTTGATTGAAATACCAAAATATTAGGCCAAATACCAGAAACATCATACCTTTCATTTAAATTAAATAGTACATTTTTCTCCAAATACAGGCCTCATCTAAATTTTTGCCTCAAGTCTACATATACCTAAACACGGCCCTGCCCTGGTAAGAAATTACTAACCGAAATATTTGTTTGTATATATATGCATGTATATATATCAGCCTAGCTAACAAGCTCGGTCGTGTACCCTCGTTGATAGTATACTGCTAAACCTAAACGAGTTCACACGCAGGATCACATTTGGTGCTGGAATTGTGTGTACTCTATTGGGAGCAAAGATGGACTACTCCAATGGATTGTGTGCAATCTCTCACCCCGGCTATCTATTCACTGGAGCAATTCTTTGGTTTGGGCTCAGTCTCTTTTCCGCTATGGCTTATATCACCACCCTTCCTAGCGTACATGTTTTTATCTTTGGTGATAGACCCTCCGAATGATCAATTTTCACGTAAATGTTGGAGGCTATGTTGCACGGAAACGCAAAAATCATGGACACGGGAAACATCAACTTTTGCTCAAAAAAAGGTTTGTTTGGAAAGTTTCCAATAAATTTTGGTAGAGTTTCCGAAACGGAAACGTACTCTCAAGGTTTGTTTACAAGAACTAAAAAGTTGCAAAACGTTTTACCGGATGACAAAGACAATGCCATTCAAATTCTTGATTTTGTGAAGATTATGGGTTGCTATCCGAACACAAAAATTGCTTATAGGATACTATTGACAGTACTGGTAACTATGGCCACTGCTGAAAGAAGTTTTTCAAAGTTGAAGATTCTGAAAAAATTATTTGCGATCGACAATGTCTCAAGAAATACTTAATTGATTAGCTATATTAAGCATTGAGCATAATGTGCTAGAAAAGCTTGATTATGAAGCTATAATTGATGACTTTGCTTCACAATGTTCAGCAAGAAATGTATTGAAGTAATTTTTTATTTGGTTATTTTTCAAAACGTGATTTGACTATGTTTAATTTAACAAATTCAAGTATTTTCTTTATTATAAAGGTATTTAAATATTATTATTCTACATGTTAATTTAGATAGAAATGTGTTTTATGATTTTTTTTTTACATTAGGCCCATTTTATATTGCTCGCTCTTAGGCTTTCAAATTTAGAGGGCCGCCCCTCCATACTCTTTCCAATGAGTTTAATTTGCGTGCTACATAGGTTGGAGGCACTTATGAATGTCATGCAAAAGAATTCTGTAAAAAGTATAAAGAGAAATTCAATTCTACTTAATGCGTTTCTAGTATGGGAAATAAAAGGAAACAGAGAAAGTCAACTCAGAATCACTATTTATTCTTTGAAGGAAACAACTTACGATACGGAGTACAACAAAACACACGGCCAACCCAGAGATCTTGTTCACCAAATTTGCAAAGATACTAAAAAGTTTTGTACTTGCAATTTGCAAACATTGACATTTATTGATTAATAGATGCATATATAATATATAATAGGTCATTAATTAATAGATGTATAATAATAGATCCCTCTTGCATATTGTTAATTGATTATGCTGCAACAGGAATGTAGCCCTCCTCATTCTCCAACACAATCCAAGTTCCATCATCCTTCTGAACAATCCCTCTGTTCTTCTCAATCCACCAACTCCCAGGAATGCAATACTCCTCCCTCAAATAATCCAGCTGCTTGTTAACCAAAGCGATGTCACGCTTCACCACCAGCTCGAACCCATCCAGAAGCCCCACCCCTTGCGTTCCCGCTATCCCATGCAAGTACGGCTCCAGGAGGTGCCAGCTCTCCAACTCCCCTATCGGCTTCACATACTTCGATTTCGTCACGTTGATGGTCAACTCCTCCCCGACGTCCGCGTATCCCACCAGCGGCGTCGCTGGTGGGACTTGCGGGACCACGTCGGGGATGTTGCGGATTCGTAGCAGGTGGAGGTTCGGCGTTGAGTCAAATACTTTCTTGAAGAAGTGGTCTCCGGTTCTCGGGCACGCGTACACGAACGCGGTGACCGGAAAAGACTTGCCGTCGGTGGTTTTGTTGATTCCGTCATAGGCTATGTCTGTTGCGTTTAAGGTTGCAATGGCTGCTCCCAAGCTGTGCCCACAGACGGTTATGCTCACTTCCTCCTCCTTGAATTGCTCAACTAATCTCTTAACCTCATCGATAACCTCAGAATTGAATAATGTAAGATAAGTTAATACTTCGTATATAATTGGATTCAGTACTTGAATAGGTGCATCAGTGCATGTGCTAATTACTTCACATTTATGTGAATTGGGAACATATATGTACGGAGTATTTAACTTAAAATTCCTAACTTTGTGGCATATATATCCCGAGTGAAACTCAACTCATTTTAATGAGTCATTGAAAAAAAGTTACTTATAAACTTGGAGATAAAACTTACTCCGTAGTATGTTTTCTTCTTAAATTAAGACTCAGTTTGTTAAAAAAAGTGACTTGTTAATCTGTTTGTCTTCATTGAAGAATAAAGGGTAATTTGAGTTTGCACCCCATTTTAATGTCCAAATTTGACTCTGCACCCCGTTTTTAAAAATCTTTGTTTTTGAACCCAACCCCGTATGAAAAAGACAAAAATGTCCCTAAATTAATAATTTGTTGCCCTTCAACATATTCCTACTTGAGGACACTATATTCTTCTCATAAGGAGTTGGGATGCAAAAACAAAGATTTTCAGAAACGGGGTGCAAAGTCCAATTTGAACAATAATATGGGTGCAAACTCAAATTACCCCTAAATATAGTGGAAATTCTGTTTTGGAGCGGATGAGTCGTGTTTAGTACTTTCGGAAAACAATTACTCCCTCCGTATCAAATTAATTGACTCGTATGCTTTTTCACGTAGTTTAAGGCAAATATATGTAAAGTAGGAGATTTTTGATACTGTAGCGGTACTGTAGCAGTACTGTAGCGGTACTGTAGCTGCTTTTTGGTTGGGTTTATTTCTAAAAAGGGAAATGAGACATTTATTTTGATACGTCCCAAAAGGGAAAGCGGGTCAATTAATTTGATACGGAGGGAGTATATTTCTCCTTATACAAGTACTAGTATATCATATATTGTACTCGGTAGTTTATTTTGTGAAATAATTACACATTTAGTTTGACTAAATTAAATGTTGTTTACAAAAAAAGTTTTATCACATAATACTAAAAAAGTGGACAACGGATACAAAAGAGATTTTTTTAAATCTCCAATAATGTGACTAATACTCCGTATTAAACTTACTGAATTACCCCTAGTGGCCTGACTCATCTAGTGAATTGACCCTCCTAGTGATCTAACCTTCCTAGTGAGTACTGCCGTCAACGATAGTGACCACTGTCAGTCATAGTGGTTGTTGTAACACCGGACCCGAATTTTACCCAGATAAAATTTTTTCGTAAAGTACTTGGTTAAAGAAGGTAAATCAAGACTAAGAGTAGTCTCGATAAATGAGAAAGTAAAATTTTGTCCTAAATTAATAAAGGGTTATTAATTTAGACGTGGGACCACACGTGGTATTTCAAGTTTATAAAATATTACTATTTTCCAAAACGATACTATTATGATAAAGAGCGACAACTGGACGGTCGAGCGGGCCAGGACCACTATTCGATAGTGGAGAGTCCTTAATTATCGGACTGTCAATAATTCGTAGGACTACGAATTTATAACAGAAGAAATATAAACATTTTAAGAAACCAAAATAATGGGATGAATAATATTGATTAACTTGGTATATTAAAGGAGGGTACTTTTGGAGGACCCTACCTTAAAGATATTTTATTTTGGGAACAAACAGATAAGATTTTATCTGTTTTTACATTTGGGATCACTTAAAAAGATGTGTAACATTTTATTAAAATGTCACAAAATATCAATACACATATTGAGTCATGAGAAATTGCTAATGAATTTACGAGATGACGTGTTCTCATTTTTACCTGTTACTTGAACAGTAAATTGCACGTTGGGCCTACACTAGGAGCGGGGACCATCTGATATTTCCGGAACCACATATTATATTCATCTTGGTCTAGATAATATTTATATGAGGGTGTAAATAAATGTTGAGCCATAAAGTTGGCCTTTCGATCAAACGAGGTCCCATTACCGGTATAGGTAATTAAACAGGTAACAGCCCGAAATTAATTTCGGCGACCACGAAATTAAAGTGGGATAATATATATTCATTCGAAAGGCCAATATTAATTGGAAGAATGATATATATTTTATTTGACCCGATAAAATGAAATTTAATTAAAACAGTCCAGAAAATACAACTTTCGGGGCCGAACGTACACTTCGGGACATATTGGGATGACCTCCCACATGAGTGGGGGCCACCCCACGATTTTTGGTCTTGCAATAAGTGTGTAGAGCCATGTTGAAATAGTGGAAATAATTAGAGGTGATGGGGGAACAAGAAATGTCAAACAAGGTCCCTCTCACACTCCATCATTGAGAGTAAAGCCAAATTAAGTACTCCCCTCCCACATGGACTTATAGTACAAATCATGGAGCCAATTAAGAGGATTAAGGTATGCATATCTTCACCTTCAACCTCCCAAAAACGAGCTCAAGCATAGGGATGCTCAAGGAAGAAGAAAGAGTGGAGAAAGTAAAGAAAACTTAGGGGAAAATCAAGGTAATAACGTCATTAGTATTTTTCCTCCTTCATTTAACCTTATATGATTTTATAAATCATATTATGGACCCTTAATCTTGTTCTACACTTCTAGAGGTGTAGAATGAGGATTTGGAAGGTTAAGTTTAACCATAAACGGAGTTATGACCGGAGCAAGGCCGATTCACCGGAAAACACCTTCTTGGAAGGTTTTGACATTTATACCACTTTTGGTTGTGAAAACTTGTTAGGAATTTTACCAAGGTATTCTAGACTTCTCGAGGAATCTAGGAGTGGCCGGAAAATTCGCCGGATCCGCCGGAGTTTCGCCGGAAAATTTCAAAAGTCACCGGAGTTCAAACAAAGAGGATAAAAGCTTGCTAGCGTCATTTCAAGGTGAGTGGACGACTACGTGTCTTGTAACTCTTGGGTCAAACGTGGGATTACCTAAATAAAATCCTTATCATGATTTGAGGAATGATTAAATGGATTAAAATGCATGATTAGTCATGGTGAATATGAATTATGGAAATATTACATGATTAATGAATAAGAGATTTATTTGTGGATTAATCATGAATATATTATTGTCACATGTATAAAAAATGCATACATGGACTATGTATGAGATAACTAGAGTAATCTAGTATGTGAATATGTATAGAAATGTTTAAAAGTGTTTAAACATGTGATTAGCTATAATGAGTATAAGTTATGTGAAAATGGCATGATTAATGAGTAACAGAATTATTAATATTTTGATGAAGGATAATCATGGATGATTTGGTTAAGGTAATTCGAGATGGTATTCTTGAAGGATTTAAGTACATAATCATATGTGTCATTAAATTAAATTTGAGTTTGAAGAATAAACTAGAACGAAATATATAAATGATTAATAAGTATGAAGTACTTATTAATAGTTGTGAGAAGACGGCTTTATGTTTCATAACTTTTGAGTGAGGCATGAATTACCTAAAGTAATCAAGAATATATTTTATTGAATGATTAAAGATAATCAAGTATGTGTTATGCCATGATTATATGTAAAATATAGTTGAAAGGCATGTTAAGTAAGCTTGATGATTTAAAATGTGATAATTAATTATGTATGATGTTCCAAGGACCCAAAAAGGTATTTTTGGATTGAGGAAGTCAAGAAGTACATGTGTATAAAATTTCACGTAAATCGAACTTCGTTTGTGCGGTCAAACGGGCGTTGACCGCCAAGTCAAAGGCTATACCCGACCGGGTATAAGTAAATACCCGACCGGGTATTAGCTAAAATCAGTTCCAGAGGCTACTGCCTCACCATACCCGACCGGGTATGGGTAATACCCGACCGGGTATGGGTAATATCCGACCGGGTATTGGGTAATACACCCAATATGTAGTTTTTGAGTAAGTTTATGTGGGCCGTTCCAGTGGGACCCGTCCACATTGGTTGCTAAGGCTTCAAATACGGTTTAAATGCTAAGACTTGGACTAGTCGTTAGTAAAGAAATTATAGACCACGACTGGGCGAGGTACGTGGTAGATTATACATGACGGGTGAATACCCGGGACCGAGTAAGGTTGGGTAAAACTCTGTAGGACCAGGAGGAGTCCTTAATACTCAAATGTTAACAAGGGCCCGTGTAGTCCTTGAGGTGTGTTAACCTCCAGCAAATTACACATAGGTAACAAGGGCAAATGCAGTCCCTGAGGTGTGTTAACCTCCATCAAATTGCATATAGGTAACAAGGGCCCGTGTAGTTCTTGAGGTGTGTTAACCTCCAACAAATTACACATAGGTAACAAGGGCAAATGCAGTCCTTGAGGTGTGTTAACCTCCATCAAATTGCATATAGGTAACAAGGGCCCGTGTAGTCCTTGAGGTGTGTTAACCTCCAGCAAATTACACATAGGTAACAAGGGCAAATGCAGTCCTTGAGGTGTGTTAACCTCCATCAAATTGCATATAGTAACAAGGGCAAGTGTAGTCCTTGAGGTGTGTTAACCTCCAGCAAATTACACATAGGTAACAAGGGCAAATGCAGTCCTTGAGGTGTGTTAACCTCCATCAAATTGCATATAGTAACAAGGGCCCGTGTAGTCCTTGAGGTGTGTTAACCTCAAGGCGGGGTTAGCCCCGGGAATGTAAACTATGATTGTAAGGACGGATAGTCCTCGAGGAAGGTGAACCTCAAGGTAGTGATTTTAAATGATTAAACGTGCTTGATCGAGAACGAGTTTCCGATAGGATATTTTCCTTGGTCTAGGAATTGATTTAAACCATGTCCGTGATATGGGAGTCTGAAGGGCCCCCACAGTAATTATATTTTGATATCGGGTGAGTCAGCCTGCGGGTGACTCCACTCGAGGGTAGGACATGGGAAGGGTGAATTTAATGAGGCTCTTATGCCTAGATGATTTGAAAGACAAATGGGCCCACGGGCCGGATATTTTACTCATATGTATATATGTATACATTTTGTTTTAAAAAGGGGTAGCTAAGAGTTATGCCCATAATTATACTATCACCCTATTTTGAGGGTCTCACATGAGAAACGTTAGTTACATTACATACAGTTTGCCCTCACCAGTACTTTTCTGTAGTACTGATCCCTCGGGGGAACCACCCTTTCAGGTTGAAGCTAGAGCTTACTTCCTGCACCCGTTGCTCGGGAGATCGATGGAGAGAAGACGTGGTTCGTGCTTCCTCTCGTTCTATTTTTAAATAATTAAATAATGCTCATGGAACTATTTTGACTTATAAATTAATGGAGCCTGCGAGCTCTTGTTTTACCCTTGTGTGGGTTCTTATTAATCACTTATATTCCGCTATGTGTTTGATTGTATGTTGATGTTGTTATGTATGTTTACTAATCGGTTTTGGCATATGTATCTATCGGACGTCTTGTGCAATTCGGTAAGGATGAACTGCGGTTATTCTTATTGGGTTGTACGACGGTTGTCCACGTGGCACAGACGCGGTCTGGGGCGTGACAGTTGTTGCCGCTAACCATACGTAGTGAACATCGTTGCCCAGTGACCACCGCCGGTCAAAGTGGTCATTGCCAGTTAGTTTTACTACCTCCATCCCTTTTATATTGAGACGGAAGAGGGCAGTACGATTATTAAGAAAAGTGGGTTTATGTGATTGATATTAATTGATAAAGTAAGAATAAAGTAAAAATGATTTAGAACCACACAAACTTTACCAAATATGATCTGAGACAATTTTAGTGGGACTTCCCGAAAAGGTAAAATGAGATAATATAAGGGGGACAGATGGAGTAGTTAAAACCTCCACACTAACTAGTTGTCAACTGTTTACGTTCATTGACACCACCGCCCCGCCGAGGGAGACAACACTGCGGCTGTCGATGTGTAGACGCCTAGATGATAAGCTAACTTCGAACATGATTTTTTATTCTAGATTAATGTGTTTAAGTCTTGTTTGGTCTTGGTAAACATGTCGGCTATATGCATTTATGTAAGTCTGATCTAATGTGGAATTGTGTGGTATAGACTTGTTTTATTTTTGGTCATTTAATTTGGTTTGGTTCAAAATTGCTCCAAATAAGAACGCTCATTTCATTTTATTAAAAGTATACCAATTATGAGTGAATGAGTCTTAATTATGTGATGAGATGCCATGATGTGTAATTATCAACTCCAAGTAACTTGGCGAGCTAGAAAATGTAAAGGATTATTAGCTAAATATATCCTCAAGTATCATCAAATTCACAAATCTACGAAATATCTTATACTTTCACTTTTATTTAAAAAAAGACTCAAATTTCAACTATTCTAACAATTACACTCTCAATGAATGAATTAGCAAAACTTAATAAGAATATCGTATTTATATTTCATATTTTTTCACTTCTTTCTAGTTTTATGTTTAGAAACTTGTATTGCTTATATCTTATTGGTATTGATAAGATTGAACAATTTTGAAAAAACAAAAAAAGAAAAGCATAATTCATGAAAAAGATGAAGTTTGAGTCTTTTTATGACAAAAGTCAAAGAATAGAATAGATTTATGAATTTGATAATAGTTTTGAAATAAAATAAGGTAATAATCCAAAAATAAAATGTACCTGATCTCTTGCACTCTTGACATTAAAAGCAGAGTCCGGATTGGCAGAGGTGTAAATCGAATAAAATCCTCTATGAACGTTGGCAAGAGTGCCACCCGTTTGAAAGATCTTTGGAGCGGGAAGCATGATTATCTCCAAATCATTCACCCACTCCAACGCCCGGATCGTCCCTCTCCAACACACGATTATGTCTCTCCTCCCTAGCGCCGCCTTTCCTTCGTCCGTCGCCACCGCCACATACCCCATCCAGTTGGACTCCCTGCTCCAAGCACCCAATGGGATGGGCTTGATGAGGAAGGCGTCCGGGACAGTGTACGAGGATGTCGCGTAGATATACTTGACAACCTCGTACTTGTACGGGCTGGACTTCTCCAGCCCGACCTTGGAGAAGAGAGTGGCCTCGGAGTAGCGGCTACTTCCGCAGAACTTGGAGAACAAGTCTGCGTTGAAGGTGTCGTAGGTTACTTGGGTCATCTCCCCATAATGGATCAGATATTTGCGGAGGTCTAGGTCCAGAGGGTTTAGTAAGCCCTCCCATTTCTTGCTGCCGCTAAGCACCTCCCATTTCTCAGCTATGCTGCTACTCATTTTCTTTCCTTTCGATTCCTTATTTGGATATACGAAGTATATGTAATTTTGGGAACTTTTGGGAGGTAGTGCCGTAGTTGTTGGGATGGGGATCTCATGGTTAAAGTCCCCACTTTATATAGCTATTGAAATGCGCTTTTCCCAGTGCGGCGTGAAAAACGTGCGCAAGTTGCAAAATGTGGACGGGAATTTGATAATTGTAGATGTCAATATTCAGGAATGTATTTATATGTGTGGGGTTTTAATTTCTTGTCTCCTTTCAAGTTTCATTGATGGTGGTTTGGGTGTTAGGTTTGTAAGATTATGTCCCATATACGATGTGCACGGTGAACATATGACATGAGAGAAATAGACACAAAAAATTAAATTTATGACATTTTTTTCTCATTCTTTCTACGACCTTATGTGTTTTTGGTAAGTTTTCCTCTGTAATGTCAAACACAATGTCTAAATCTAGACATTATGTTTGACATTATAAAGAAAAATTTACTAAAATGTCACAAGATCATTCAAATAAGGAGAGAGATATTTTATTTATTACTTCCTCCGTCCCTATTATATCTTCCAAATAGGTTTGGCACAGAGTTTAAGATAGTGGGTATTGTGTGGTGGAGAGTTGTGCAGAGGAGAGAGAAATGTGTAAGAATTGCTGTGAACCACAAATTCTGGCCGAAAAAGGAAAGTGGAAGTTTTAATTGGGACAGACGAAAAAGGAAAGTTGGAAGTTTATTTAGGAACGGAGGGAGTACTTTTTAGTTAACCATGTCTCGTGCCACGTATGCACCGTTCACGTATTAGCATTGAAGATGCTCTAATAAGGCCATGAATCTCTTTGTTCTATAAAAGGCGTAAAAGTTTTTCTTCAAAAATATTACTAGCTCAAATAAATTCATTTACAAAAATATGATTAAAACTTACTCCCTCCGTCCCAATTTGATGGTGTTGTTTCTTTTGGGCACAAAGATTAAGAAAATGTGATAGAAAGACTAAAGAACCTTACTTTATTGTATTGTTCATCTTTTTATTTTTACTGTTCATTAAAAAGGGGGAGTATAAATGGTAATCCGCTTTTAGTTCTTTACCAAAAAGGAAAACAAGACCATCTTTTTGGGACATTCCCAAAAAGAAAATACAGGACCATTACTTTGGGACGGAGGGAGTAATATTATGACTAAAGTTACTACGAAGTATTATATTTACTACATCATCTAAGAGCTCTTACTTTTGTAAACACCTAGGCGGAAAAGGGGCCTAAATTCAGGCGGGAACGGGAAAGAGGGAGGGCAATGGTTGCGGCTGCGACAAAGAGGAGCGACGAAGAGAAGCATTGGGGCAGCGGCTGAGAAGAAGCACTGATAGAAGAGCACCGAAGAGAACCACAATGTATAACTGCTCTTGAAAAAAATGGGACATCATAAAAATGTCACCCAATTTTTATTGATGGTCATTATATAACTAAAATCAATTGCAACTTTCTATGCTAGAATGTGTAAGGAATTGAAGTTTAATGCCTAATGGAGTCCAGCTAAGTCCTAATAAGATAAATACGTCATGCATTTGGTCCAGACATTACCTAAGTTATTTATATGACCTGTATCTAAACTTTGTGTGATTTTTTTTTTCATATTTCAATTGAGAAACTAAAGTTTTTAGAGTAGATATATTCATATATTGCCCCAAACTTATTTTTTTAACTACATACCCATTATCCAATTTTAACTTATTATCAACAAGTCCTTAACCAAAGCGGTGGTTCCTTAATTCATTCAATCAAATTAGACAATTCAACCAAGGGGTCCATTGGTTCATTTAGTCAAGGCGGGCCGGCCATTAGTACCTTCAGTCAAAAATTTTCCATAAGTTCTATTAATAATATTTAAGAAAAAACTTTTAAATCACCATAACGAAATAATATCATAATATTGGATGATTTAATATCATAACATATACGATAGTACTATCTATATGTGTGTGCGGAGTTAAGTTCAAATAAAAAGTGTTTGCTAGGTGAAAATAAGAATTAGTTGTGGTCATTGATGCAAGAAAATGGTGTTTTGATATTTGTGAATAACTTTTAATCTAAATGTTGTAACAAACATGTACGAGAATATGCAACAAATGGACATGTAGAGCACAATAGTACATCACATTACAAAATAAAAGGGGCAATGAAGGATAGAGTTGTAAAAATTGGATAATCTTTTTTAAACCTGATAGAGTGCAATTTATTTGTATCCACTTCGTACTATAAACTTTTGCGCATTTATTGATTCCGTGTCTTGTGATTAAAAATTCATCTCATCAATCTATTTGTAAGTCTTTTTGTGTATAATTATTTATAGAATTAGGATCTGACGAGAAGATTGCTTATTGTAAAAAATGAAAATGCATCTACATTGAATTTGAGATCTAATGACCGTAAAAGCGCATTGCAAAAGGAGTAATAAATAACGCGGTGACAATTTGGTAATTGAATAAATCATTTATGTTATCGTGTAGAAGTGCATTAGGTAAACGTAAAACTGTAAAAATACATAAACGAGAATTATTCTCCTTCTTCGCCTTAGAAACGTGTGTCATTATTATCTACTTTAGTACTAATAAAGTAGAGTCATCTCAATTGAAATTGATTTGTGATAAAATTGCTATTAAGTCCAATTATTGCAATTCTTAATTTTTAGATTTTGCCCTTAATTTTTTTAATTTAAATAAAGTACTATGTATTTCAAAAGAGTTTAAAAAGTCTAAAACCATGTCGTAAAAAAAGATAGGCATGTTAAATTCAATGGACGGTAATTCACAGGCCGATAACGGCGATAAGTACTGTCGGTTAGGCTTATTCATAATTTTTTAGATTTTAGATTTATTTACAATCTAATCTTCAAATTATCCATATATTATCAAACCATATAAGAGATTCATAAAAGTAAGAAAGATTTACAATCAAATAGAGATTATACGAGTATATATTTCAATATGGTGACTGTATCAAAGCAATTTGGGATCTATAGCGTATATAGGTTTGTATTAACGATTGTGTAATTTATTTCTTATTTGAGAGTATTAGAAAAGAAATTAAAATTTATAATTTGGCTAATTTAAACTCTCTGATTTCTCATGATGAATTAATAATGTTAATTACTATACATCTTAGGGCTGAGAGCCGAACTGGACTGAACCGTTATGACCCGGTTCAGTTCAATTCCAGCATTTATTAGTTATTGTGCTAATTACCCGCATGGTCCACTTTTGTGTACCAAATATCATTTATGACCCGACTGCCTTTTCTTTTCATTTTTAACTTTTATATTTTCAATTTTAGTTTTGTTATTTCACTTTCAGGTAGCCTTGCTAACCGCTTCCTTAAGTAGCGTACTTTCACAGGAGAGAGATGCAGAGCAGCTTCCTGATCGGCATTTTTTTGCCGCACCGGTGAAAATCTGAGAGAGCCGACAGAGATCTCATGGCTGTGTCGGTGAAAATTTTGAGAGAGCCGGCGGAGATCTCATTGTCGCGTCGGTGGAGAATATGAGAGAGCCGACCGATAGATCGATCCGTGACTTCCAACTCTCTTCTTAGGGAATGGTCCCATGTGGACGGGATTGGACATCTCCGATGAAGGTGTGTCGGATTCCTCGCCCCAACATCATCAATCAGTCGTGCAATCATATTGGTGGTCTTCAGGCTCAAACTAAGAGCAGATCGAGCTCCTAATTAACACTGTAGCTGAGTACTATGCTTCTGAGAAAAGAGGTAAAGCTTTATTGTTTTGAATGCTTCTCAAATATGTTGGAATTCAGATCTAGTATGTGATGACGACTTCTTTACAAACCACACAAATTTAACCGTATGGACCAATTTTCAGCGCATCAGTTTTAACTTTCTTCTCTTCATCAGATCGAGCTAAGTAGTTATCCTATGCCAAATTCAATATTTGGTACTTGGGAGATAAACTCCAATGACAATTGTTGTATCTCTGCTTCTTTGAAAGTTAGGAAAATTGAAGATAAACTCCACCACTAGATCAAGTGAATTGACCTTCCAATTTTCTTCACTATTCTTCTATTAATCATTAAAATCTCTTTGTTTAATTAGTATTGAAAGGTCTGCTCTTATTTTAGTATTTTTGGCTAGTCTCATAATCGTAGGATCTCAGTGTTGATAAATTTTATTGGCACTCATCCTAATAGGCTAATAATTTCAGCTATAATGCACGCATGTAAATTGTAGCATTGATTGTTAATGAGTATATATTAATAATTTACATATCTCAACATTGATAATTTTTCTCCTTTTCCCCTCCATATTTTATCACACACAAGGAAAATACATATTATTGAGTGTTTTTTTGTTGCTTTTTGTTTCACCGTGTTGCTTTTTTGTTGATTTTTGTTGATCACTTTCAATGATTGTTTTTTGATATTGTTGTTTTTTGTTTACTTATGTTTCCCCCATTTGTTTTTTGAATTCCTTTAGTATAAAATGACTTTATAAATATAGTTATTTGGGCTTAATAAAAAATTACTTCTGTATATATTAATTTGACTCATGGATTTATGTTATATGCATTTGAGTGTAATGGTTACATATGGTTCCTGGTACTGGTACTGGCAGATGCCAAGAAGATCTGATTTTTCATCAAGCAACTTGATTCTGATGAGAGGGGTGATCATCATCACCAAGAGAGGAGATAGACCTAGAAGCAGAAGTCCTGGAGGAAGATGTGGACAAAGCAGAAGTCCTATGAGCAGGAGAAATAGAAGCCCTGACGTGCACTTTGTCGTGAGTGCACTCAAAATAAATTCAATACTAACATTTATACGTAGTATAGCGTAGTAGAGTTCGTATCCACAGGGAAAGGAATAATTCTCTTTTTATAGAACTAGTAAATAAAAGGGGGGTTTAGGATTGAATGATTTAATTTAATTAAACAGAAAGATGAACAACTTAAATGTGATTTAATTCAAAGATAAAAAGGACTTGGCATTGCTACTTTCCACTTGTTGATATATTTTAGTCGATCATTGTTATATCTATAACTTATCCCCTCTCAAATACTCAATCGAGGAGTATATCCAATTCATCGAGAGTAGTTATT